AGAAAACCGCTGTAATTTTGCATCATATTTTTTAGGCCAAATTTTTTTTTTATAAAGGTAAAATGTGTCACAACATACTATAAATGAAGCATTGTGGTGCCCCAGCCTACAAATCATATTCTTTACATGTAATAAAACATGCTTATTCAGTACAGTCCCCAGAAAAAAAAAAAATCACATCATGATTTTTATATTTTTTTCGGTGAAAAGTAAATGCAAAAATTTCCCACTGAAATCGTGACTCACATCGCAATCTCAATATCTGCCAAGAAAATCCCAATATGATTTCTTTTGCAGACCATTCAGCCCCTCACCATCTCTGTCCAGTCTGTTCAACATTACGCCATTAATATTGTTTAAATGCATGTTTTGATTCTAGTCACAATTAATAATTTTTGAATCTTGAACCACTTCTGGAAAAGTCTCCTGTTCACTGGCTTTTGTTGCCCTTTTTTCCGAATTTTCTATAAAGGATTTCTCTCTCCGATCTTTCTAAAAAGCAGACACCTTTTTTTTTTTTTTTTAACCATATCTTAAGCTTAATGGGAGTCTACCTTTGTACTTGCTTGTGGAATCTGACTATCTCATCACTTTACAAATATTAATGAATGATAAGGATAGCGCACCTATGGCATAGATGCAACAAAATCATTTTTTGTTATCTTTGTTAAAATGATAAAATACTCAGATTTTAATAGCAATTATATGAGTAGATAGTCATTTATAATACACTGTGATGTAGAAGGTAGGGGCACAGTGGATGACAGGGAAGCTAACTGAAAGAAATGGAGCAGGACATCAGCTCTCTACATTGACACGGTTACATAGTCAAAAAGATGGTAAGATGCAAAACTTTTAGTTAAATAATTCCAGTTTAACATCCTGCTTACATTATTATGAACAGTTATTTTTATTTACCATAAACACAATATCTAGCTAGAAATGGAGATAGACGTTTTAGAACATAATAATACCACTATATGTCTAGGTCCCATGATAATTCCTCTCTAGCTTTTAGTGTATTGTCGGTAAGAACGACTGGTCAGACAGGGGTCACTGTCGCCAGCATCCACTGAAATGCGATAGGGTTAAGGTTACACGGCCATTAATCATTGCTGCGCCACACTGGCCTAATGGACAGGGACGCTGCTCGGGGCATCACTGAGAACATCACTTGTGTTCTCAGCAGTTATGTTGGTGTTTCCTGCCTTGGGATAAATACAAGATGAACTTTGTTTTGTCTTCCTACAGACGATGGTGGTTGGGGAAATGAAGAAACAATATGAATGTGTGTCTCTGCTGCTCAAATAGGGGCAAGATAGGGTTAAAGAAAAAGTGAGGATGATTGGTCTGTTTGTGTGTTTGTGTGTTTGTGTGTGTGTGTGTGTGTCAGACTGGTGTGTGGGTGTGTGGGTGTGTGGGTGTGGGTGTGTGTGGGTGTTCATGTGTTCCCCGTCCTGACACTGCGAAGTATGAATAATGATTTAACTGGGGTCAGATTCCATTGGAGACGTTCACCTGTATCTGACACTAGTGGTATTGCGTAGCGGCCATTAATGTCCAATTTTCAATGAAAACAGAAATAGAATACAGACTGATAAGGGTAACACCATCCAGCTTCACACCCGACCACATAATTACCCCAATGGGCTGTGGTGAGGGATCATATCCTGGCGCGCACTGGGGGGTCAGCGGCGATAAGCTTCAGCCCAGCTCCCAACATGCAGCATAATTACTCTATTGATAATTCACCAGGAAAATGGTGCCAGCCAATTGCAGGGCTCCGATTTAATGGATTGGACAGCGAAACGAGGGAGGAATGGAGGAAGGAGGCTGTGAGGGGGCAGAGCGCGTGTGTGTGTGTGTGTGGGGGGGGGGGGGGGGGGGGGGGGGGGGGGGGGGGGGGGGGGGGGGGGGGGGGGGGGGGGGGGGGGGGGGGGGGGGGGGGGGGGGGGGGGGGGGGGGGGGGGGGGGGGGGGGGGGGGGGGGGGGGGGGGGGGGGGGGGGGGGGGGGGGGGGGGGGGTTGTACGTGGGAGCAACCTGCAAGGGCCTTTTATTAGAAATGAAAATATGTTTAGGCCATAGGGGGACCCATTTTCCCTGGAGATAATAAGGCCAATAAAATGTAAAGCAGGGGAAGGGCTTGGCATGGGGTCCAACTGTGGCTGTTTATCTGTGTGTGTCCTGCATTAGCCCATTTATCCCCAGCCTCAAATTAGCTAATCATTCTCCAAGGGGAAGGACTTGGTCAGGAAATTGACATTTAGCAGCATAGGCTCACTCTATTAACTACAGTAAATTTAATTTGCTGCACACCCCAGAAGTGGGCTGTTTTCTTTGCCATCAGAGGGAGAAAGGGAGAGGGAGACAGAGACAGAGAAACAGAGAGAGAGAGAGAGAGAGAGAGATTGTGTTTATTGCATCTGCTGCTTCTGGCCACAATTTGCTTGGCTGTAAATATAAGACTTAGACTTGGAACTCTGCAACTCTGTTGTATTTCCCCTCATATACTGTTGATTACAAACATACGCAGGCATTGTCAACACATAGATTCACTCATTCCATGGTCTGTTTGGGCCATTGATGGATTATCTCGCCTGGAGACTCCAAACCCCAAAAATGCCAATGTTTTTCTATCACTCTTCTCCATTAGCTGCGATTCTCTGACGAGGCTAATCGTAGCTCCAGTAAACACTGTATTAAACATGCTAAATCAAATGTCCTGTGACTGATGACTGCTTTCACCTCTGCCTCTGAATCAGATGTTTCATGATAATTATTTCTGATTATCACTCCAGGGTGGCTGCTTTAGTGTCTGTTCTGCAGAATGCAATGAGACAGGATTTACTGTGGGAAAAAGATACTAAAGAGCAACCGCTGTAGCTGCTTGGATACTATTAGTATTACTGAAACTAGAGGTGCAACGATTAGTCGATCATTAGAAAATAAATCTGCAGCTCTTTAGATACGTCATAAACATTTAAGTGATTTTTAAGCAAAAAAACATTCTCAAATGTAAAAATGAGCTTTTTTCTTCATCCTCTGTGGGAGTCAGTTCAGGATCTTTGCATTGTTTTTGTTTGCTGAATGAGGTTTCTCCAAAAGTAATAATAATAGTTGGTCAATTATTCAATAATGCAAATAATGGATAGTTGCAGCTCTAATTGTAACACTTCATTGGAAAAATATATGAAGTGAACGTGGAATTCAACTTTATTAGTTGAAATTGATTTATATGCATTACAGTATGTGCTAAATATATGGTGATCTTTTAAAGATATTGATCTTTGTTCAACTTTTGCGTATTGAGTAAGTTTACCATCACTCCAGGCTATACTTCAATGTTCCTGAAAAACTGAACTTTAAATAGTGTTTTTTGTTTTTTTTTTTCAAAGAGAGATTTTCTTTAGCAGAGACCTTGAAATAGCACAGCTGACTCTCTCCAGAGATCAGGATCGCCCGAGCCTAATTGATTGCAACAGTTGTCAGAGTGTTGTCTGTTAGGATGGTGACAGGCGTCTGAAGAAAATGATTAGTTTTCTGTCGGGAGAGAGACAGCTCTGGATGTCCCAAACTGCAAACTAATAAAGGGGGGAAAGCAATAAAGCTCGTGGACAGCAGGTTTGACTGTTTTTATAGACAAATCAATAAAATGATAGATGATGGAAAATAACGGCATCTTAGCTGCCGATTTCTACTGGGGTTTCAAATCATGGTTCTTCACACACACGCATACACACACACGTGGATATACACACAACATGCAAGCTCACACATACACTCACACTTGAGCAGAATATGTCAAAGCGTCGTCCCTGCATTAATAGAGGAATGTGCAGTGTCACATGAATAAGTGATTATATTTTGGTATTTGTTTCTTTGCCTGTATGGCACCATATCAAGATGTTAGTTACACTTTCAATTCTCCATTTTCTGGTTTTTAAATGATGTGTGTGTAACTGTGTGTGTGTGTGTATGTTTATGTTTGTGTGTCATAACTAACAGAGTAAATCTCACACTGTAAATCTTTTTGAGACCAGAGGGCCAGTGTCAGGATCAATACTGAGGACAGACCTTCCTCAGAGCCCACCTCTAATTGGCTCCATTTCTACAGTGTGTGTGTGTGTGTGTGTGTGTGTGTGTGTGTGTGTGTGTGTCGTGGTGTATGTGGTTGTATATAACAGTATTCTTATTGCAATCCTATGAAGGATGAATTTATCTACTCCAGGAAAATTTGATCCCTGTGAGTTTTGTGACAGATGTGAAGGTTCACTGTTTCTATGTATTAATGTAAAGCTTCTTATTGAAGCTGGTCTCGCATCGTGTTTCAGAGATGGTTTAGATTCCGGTTCTACCCATTAACTCTTGTTTCCAAATCTTGTTTATAAGTATTTATTATATGTAATATTATGTCATTTGCATATAAACAAAAAACTAAGTATGTTGAAAACAAAGAACACTTACATTTTCAGCAGATTTAGGCAGCCAAAAAGGGTATAAGGTAGAATAAAGAAAGGAATAAATGTTTTCTCTTTTATGCAACACTTTTTCACATTAGCTTGTTCTTGTGTATTGTGACTATTTTACAATACAACCATACAGGGAGAAATCCATCATAGAAGAGCCATAGATTTTCTTAAAAAGCAATTAACTGAATCACCTGAACTAGAATGCATCACCAAGCTGTGTTTTACTCAGTGGGAACTTAATCCATTGCTCCTGCTATTCCTATTTCTGTTTCCTATCACTGTTGCCACACACATGCCTTAACTGACAACTGCATGCAACAGTCTCAGCCACATTTTCAGGACGTGACCAAAAGGTATTCTGCGAAATACCGGCAATCTTTAACTGTAGGAGACAAGGCAGAAAAGGAGAAAGTAGATACAAGAGACTTAGACCAGGTGGATGGTATTTATCTCTGCTCTTTTGTGTTGCCACTTCTTCAGTGGTTTATTAGCTGTACTTGTAATGTCGTATTACATGTCATATCTTTCAGGTCTCACTCTCGCCACCGACGGTCTCGCAGTAGAAGTGGCAGCCGCGGCCGGCGAGGAAGCCACAGCCGCAAAAAGAGCCGCAGCCACAGTCGCCGAAGGAGCCGCAGCCACAGCAGAGAGCGGGACCGGAGCCGGCGCAAGGGCCGCGACCGGGAGAAGGAGAAAGAGAAGGAGAGGGACAGAGGAAGAGACAGAGACAAGGACAGAGAGAAGGACAAGAGTAAAGACAAGGCAGACAAGAAGGGGTAAGTGATGAATTGCTCTGTACATGGAAGCGTACACGCACAGGTAGACACAAACAAGCGCTGGGTCGGCCCAGCTCAATCTAAACTGCTGCCTCCACAGGAGAGCAGAATATTTTGGTCAGTATAATACAGGCTTAAATATGGAGCTCAGTCTCAGCTCCTCCGTCTGTCCATCCATCACTGAATCCTTCCATCCATCAATCCATCAGTCCCTTTCTTCCTCTGTTTCCCCCTGCAATCAACCATTGGGCTGCACCGGACTTGTAATGTGATATAATTCCCTCTTGCAAGAGGAGACGTCATGTTGATAAAAGAATAGATGGTAGGTAGGAGTGCTGCATAGGTTCAATTTTTAGAGAATGTTTTGGTCGCCAGATGATGTCTGATGTCTTTAACTCTGCTTTTCACCCTCTGGACCCAGCTACAATAAGTCTAGAAACATAACAAGATCATATGCATCTCCAGTGTCATTGGTGCTCATGCCTGGGAAAAAAGCAATAAATGAGAACTCCTTATTAAGGTGAGAAAAGTTGGCAAATGACATCTTCACTTGCAAGCTTGTGTCTTCTAAAGGCTGTAATACACACAAGGAATAGGTTTGGTGTTGTGCATCCTTTAGCAGTAGTGAACTCCAGTAGAGTTCTCCTAACTGCCTTAGAGGCCTCTCTTTGCCGCAACCACAATAGCACCCTCAATCTCTCCTCAGCGATTCATGCTCTAATGTGATAGGAGGCGACTGTAATATGACTGGTACCCAGTTGTTGTCTGTCATATTGAATGGCACAGATGTGTGTATCAAGCTATGTATCCCATGAGTGATGCAGACCAGCTGCTCTGCAACACATCTATTTAAGAGACTTTGGTCCCTCTGGTAAACTGTATCTAAACTCACGGTGTAGGCTGTGTTGGCCCAAGTTATTCAACACATAACTTTATAATTAAGTGCATAGATTTAAACGTGCATGTTATACAGGTCAAGTTGTGAATTTTTAAAATGTATACACATCCAAATCTTAATTCAGGTAGCGACTAAGATGATCTTTGGTTTTTCAAACAAAGTAATACTTGAATCATGTTGAAATAAACTTTTGACCGCATATAAACTTGTCAGGGAGACAGCGGTAAATGGAAAGCTTCGAAAAAAAAATGCCTCAAAGTGTTTTCTCCGAACAGAAATATGCAGTAATAGCCAAATGGCAATTTATGATTTTATGACCGTTTGATCTGCCTGAAAAGGATCTTCATTCCTCAGATGTATTCATGATGCAACATTGCAATCAGATGATGAAAATCATCTCTGTAGCAATGGTCATAATAGACAAAAACGCAGTATATCTTCAGAACATTTAAAAAAAAATGAAAACCTTTGCTTGTGCCCCACCGTCAAACTGTCACAGAACTTGAACAACTTTTTCTCATTAAGTGAAGTGAATGCTAATTGTTGAGAAAATGAATCTGTGACAATGAATCTGGAGATAAGTCAAAAAATGGATTCTTGTTTATTTAGAATTACACCATGTGGAAATATAAATAGTTTTTAAAATAACAATTCAAAGTTTTGGTGCATTTGTTTGCTGAAAAGATCGAACAGTTTTGTTGTGATAACAAAAAGGCTCATCTTCTAATGTAATTTCCATATATACAACACTAGTTTTTGAGTCCTTTTGGAGACTATTGATCCTCACCAAAAACCCTAGGGCTCAAGATTTCTCTTTGTGAGCAGAACATGGAGATTTGCTTTTAAAGGAAAAGTGCTCCATTTATTTGAAGCTATTACATATTGCCTTTCTTAGATCCGTATCAGGAAAACAAATAAAGCTAACAGTGAAATGTAAGGCCAGCAGACTATATCTATTTTCATATTAAGGCTTCAATATCCTTCAGCATTGATAGGAATCTCGTCCTTTATCTCTGACCCCGCTTTAGCTTGTCTGTGTGCAGGTGTGTGTGCTCATATACGTAGTAAGTTTGTTGATTTGTGTGTGTGTGCGTGTATGCATTTCCACCTGTGGCAGCATTATTATATTGCAAACTGTCTATCCTTCTATCTGGCCTTCCAAATTACTTAAACCTGTGGAGGTATGGTGTTGGAATAATTTTGACTAAACCATGTTGTGCTGACCTGCCATGGCGTATACCTACAGTATATATGTATATCTATAGAGACAATCCCTGCTTTGGTTTTCTTACGTTTGGGTATTAAAGGCACTTGAAGTCACAATTAAACAGCAGTTCTAAGCTTCTTGCTTCTGTAATTCACAATTTATCAGTTGGAGAAAGAAATACAGCGGGTGGATTGTTCAGAAATGTATACTTGTTTTGGTGCTTTGTATTTTAACATGAAATTTACATTTACTGGAACAGTATTGGGTAATCACTAAGAATACACACAAAAATGCTCTCCAGTAGCAAGGATGAAAGTAATGTGATTATTCTATAAAAATACACCACATTCCAATTTGTGGCGTTTCATTTTGAACTTATATATAGCTTGTGACATGATTATAATAAGGTAATATGATAATAAGTAAAATTTTCCATTTTATTTTTATTCAAATTATCCCTACCACCACACTTCCAGTGAAACAATTAACATTCAAATTAGGCTGGTCTGTCTATGGACCTTGGTATTATGTTGTCACTGTCCAAAAGCCGCCTGACATGGATGTTCCTCCCCAGATCCTGCCACAGGAGTTTAGGTGCCTAACAAGTTCTGCTTTAGTAGAAGAAAGGCAGAAGCAGCGAGATGTTTCAGGAATATGTAAAACAAGGCTTTCTGCAGTATATCCTGTCTATGACAAGCCACTTCTTTTTCCTCCGTCTCTTCCATTCTTCTTCTTCTTCTCTTAATGGTGATGGGGGTAGGGTCTTTACGGAAGCCCCTGATCCTCACTGCTTTCATACAAACACACACACATACACATACACACACTGTAACACTCCAACCTCATTTACATCCAGGTTCTTGCTGGGTGGTGGGAGAGGAGGGAAGCAGCGCAATGTTGATGGCGGGGCGGGGTGGAGAAGAGGCTGAGAAGCTTTATAGTGTCTGTCAGGATGAAAGAGGGGCCCCTCAGAGCAGCACCCTGACACTGACTCTGTGTGTGCGCGCGTGTGTGGTGTTGTCGTCATTAAACATTTAACACTCCTCTAGTATGACAGCAGGCAACTTGGTGCTCCAGCGGCATGTTTTCATGCAAAATTTATTGAAAAAGACGAGCTGTTGTTAAGAGATCTTGTTGCCTTTCACCAGTGGCAAAGGGTAAGTGGGTGATTGTGGGGTTCTTCGTGTGTGTGTGTGTGTGTGTGTGAGTGAGTGTGAGTGTGAGTGTGTGTTTACCCAGACTAGTGTACAGGGTCAGTAGGTCAGCTTTGCTCTGTGTAATCCTCTGGCTTTGTATTTAAAGAGAGAACCTAAGAGCTTCCTTTAAGTATTTAACCAGAGCTAAAACTGTTTGTTTGTTTCTTTGTGTTTTTCTTTTCAATTGACAATTTTCTCAACAAGCAGGCTTCCCTGTGTTTTGTGTATTGTTATATATTCAGCACTGAGTTAAATATACTTGTGGATTCTCAACCTTTTTTTGTCTGATGTGCTCCCACAGCCCAATCCAGCATGCTCAAGTACTCCTTCATCAACACCCCCCCTCATGCTCCAAGAGTGTTTGTTTAAATTGATACTAACCTCAACTTTATTTAACACTATTAATTGTATAAAACAGGATATGGTTATAGTATTTTTTCACACAAGACGTAATGATCTTGGAACTGATTTTTTTCTCTTCATCCATTTATCCTTTAGTTTTCAGTATATATTTTGACTTCTCTGTGTACTTGCTTTCCAGTTTTCATGCATTCTTAGCACATTGTGTTAAGGTGCTACAGCTGACCCTTGTTGGTGGGAAACTGAGACATGCAAGCAGTTCATTGGTTATTGTGTCAGTAAATATAATAAAAATCAGCCAGACACCAGTTTGTAATTGTAGTATCAATATTTTCCTCCTAAACACAAATATGTTGATCTTTGGAACCAAATCATAATTTTTCTTTCATATAATCTTTCCATGTACCCCCCCGGGATTTACCATGGACAAATTGCAAATAGGCGCTCAGAAACTGATTAACATTAATGAATACACATGGACATAACTTAGCTTTGATTCTCAACCTGCATACAAGTGGACCCGATACTTTCCATCTTTCGTGTACTTTCCTGTTTCCCTAGAAGAGAGCAGGAGGAACAAACAATGTGTTGTGTTATCAAGTGTTCATCTGCCCCCAGGCACACAACTGACAGAAGTATAATTTGGATGTAACATCGCTCTTCACCTGATGTTCCGACCCAATTCCCACCTGTAATTAATGAGCAGAAACGTAGAATCTACATTTGACAGATGGCTCTTTCTCCACAGAAAGTGACAGGTTTTTAAAATATCTTTAATTACAAGTCAGTGTTTTAAAAGGTTTTGGCATCATTAATTGCTGCAGTGGTTCAGGCTTTCATCAGGCTTAAAGGAATTTAGTTAGGGTAAGGATAAGGTACAGTCAGGGCTCAGTTTTCTTTTTGGTTCGCTCATAATGTTAATGCACAAATACAGCACAGGTATGCATATTCTCACTCTTTTCCCTTCCCCTTCCATGTCCGTCACCCTCCTCAAACCCGATTCCTTCGTCAAAGAATTTGTCTGCGTTCAACAGAAGTCTTCACCCTTTCCTTTGGGTGGTGTCGACCTCTTTGTAACCAATCACTGAGGTAGTGGGAGAACGTGGGCTGGCTGCTGTACTCCACATCCTCAATCAGAGAGGTCTGTCCAATTAGGCTGAACTCCTTGTCTGTGCCAGGTCACGGGAGGAGTGTTGGTCCATCTGACTCAATTTCATGTCATTTGAGTGGGAAATGGGCCGAGGCTGGGCAGCGGCGGCACAGAGAGCAGAGTGGAGACCTCATGGCAGCAGAGAGCTTTCTTTTCCCTGTGCATGTAAAACTGAAGTTGGTATAATGA